CTCACGCACCTGGCTGAGCCCCATCCCTGCTGAATCCAGCTGTCTGCTTTGTGTACGAGGCAGCGATGTAAGCATGCTCTGCGGTTACCCTTCCCGGGCTCAGCCCCGCTCTGCCACTCAGCAGCTGTGTCTTTAAGGGAACTGCTCATCACTTCTGCAAAGTGAGGATGATGCGGATGATGCTGGTGACTCACGGGTGTGTAATCAAGTTTAAACGAGAATGTACACTTAGACTTGAGCTGGCCATACTAGGTATGGGATGCCTTCACTCGACTTCGGGTCTCCCTCACCCTCCGCCAGCGACCTTCCTCCCTGCTGCGCGGGGGAAACAGGCCACCAGCCCAGAACCACTTCAGCCGACCATCACCGACATATAACCACCCACTCCCTGTCTCCGCCTTCTCTCTAATTTAGGGGTGTCGAACTCAATCAGAGAAGGGGCCAAAATCTAAAATCCAGCCTAAATCGCGGGCCGAATGGTTTACTGAACAGTCATAAACTGTCATTGTGATGGAAACGCAGCGGAGTGCAGTGATGACAGCGCGGTGCGGGCCACATTGCAAGGCTTGGCGGGACGGATTTGGCCCTCGGGCCTTGTGTTTGACACATGTGCTCTAATTCAATGAGCAAAGGGCTCTGGCTCCCGTCCCAGGCCAACCCCTGTCCCTGGGGTCCAGCTCCCCTCCCCTGCGGCTGTTCCAAGGACCGTCACCCGGAAACTATCCTCCCAAAGGTGACCCCGACGATCCTTCGCTCCGGTCTCCGTGCCTCGTGTACCCCTTCCCCCACGTGTGAGTGGAACCCAGGAGCCACTCCTAACCAATAGCAAAGATGATGACCGTTTCATTGCTGCTGTGATTGCAGCGCAGTACACGAGCCTCCGGCTCTCCGGCAGACAGGAGGCTGGATGAAGCGGGCGGCCGTGTGGAGGAAGGCCAGGGAAGCAGCACTGGGGGCGGGAAGAGGGGGTCTGGAAGAAGCTGGAGGCAGCCTCCAGGTGACAGCCAGCTAGAAACTCGACCTTCAGACCCACAGATGCAAGGGACTGATTCTGCTGACAACCTGAGTGAGTTCACAGGGGAGCCCCTCCCCAGCCCAGCCTCCTGATGAGAACACAGCCCACCTAGCAGCCAGACTACAGCCTGTGACACAGCACAGACCCAGGGAAGCTGAGCCTGGACTCCTAACCCTAGACACCGCGACCACTGTTGTAAGTCAAAAAGTCTGTGGTACTTTGTTACACCGCAATGGAAACCAAACACACTTGCTCTGGACCAGACTTTCCCATCATGCACTAGCATCGCCTGTATCCTGTGAAAATAAGTCTGGACCATATGCCCCCCCCCCAAATGCTCCGCTTCTCTCTGCTCTCCTTTCCAGCAAAACTTGTAAACAGTTTTCCATATGAGTCCTCACCTCCATTCACTGCTCAGCCCACGCTAGTCACATCACTGACTTCACATTTTCTTGGTCAAGGACACCAAGTCCCACATTATCGAATCGGAACGAACATGGCTCCATCCTTATCTTGTTCACCATCCCAGCAGAATTCAGCACCACTCAGCACACCCCATTTTCAGAGCTATTTCGCTTGGCTGGCTGGCTTTCACATTTCCCAGTTCCCATCACTCATGGTTGCTGCCTCCTCCTCCTCCTCCTCCTAACTCCCAGACCAGCTTCCCGAGCAGTGCTGAGCCGCAGGGTCTGGCCCAGGCTCCCTCTCTAGGCCTGTCTCACTTCCTTTCTAACTAGTTTCAAGCGACACCAACATGCTGGCGGCTCCCAAATATCTCTCTCCAGCCCTGACCTCTCCCCTCCGACCCACATCCTGCAGCCACCTGCCCCATTCCAGCTTCCATGTGGATGTCTGACTGTCATCTCAGACATAATATGTCCAAAACAGGATTCTTTTCCCTTCAAAAATCCGTTGTTCTCCCAATCACAGCAAATAGCACATCCAACCCGCCTTCCCATCGGGCCTCACCCTGCATTCTCTTCCCTCCCCTCCTGCTCTCGCATCAGCAAGTTCTAGACTAGAGAGTCGTCTGTCATAATGGACCCTGACTCCGTCCACTCCTCTCACACTCCCTCTGCCAACCTGGAGCATGCCCTCACCTCCCGCCTGGACGATGGCCATCTGGCTGGTCTCTCCCTGCTGTCCACACGGCATGGCCTTTTAAGAACACAAGTTACCTCGAATGCCGTTACTGCCTAGAACGTTCCACAGTCGTCACCCTCTATCTCAGAAGGCCCCCTGGGCTCTAAGCTGCTGCCCCCACCTGCCTCCCTGGCGCATCTCAACCCACCAAGTCCACACCTTTCCTCCTCCCCACGTTAACACTTTTGCCATTGCCATTCCTTCCCTCTGAAATATTCTCCAGCTGTGGCTCAGATCTCAGATCAAAACCCCCTCCTCAGGGAGGTCTTCCCCATAAAGTGTTCCCCTCTTCCTCCTCGTTTGTGAGGTACACCACTTCCCCCTCATTGTGCAGCACTCTCCACTCCCAAGCTCCCTGCTTAGCATCTTTGCTTGTTGCTATGATTCCTCTAATCAGATGTGAGTATATGAAGGTGCTTACTTCTGTGTTCTAGAGTAGCACCTGGCACATTGTGGGTGTTCAATAAATATTTGAGTAAACAAGTGCATATGTGTATACACATACACACACACACACATACATCGAGTGGCCAGATTAATTGATCTCTGAGTGCATAATAATCTGGCCACTCAGTGTGTGTATATATATTTATGCACGGCAGGCCCGGTGCATGAATTCGTGCATGGGTGGGGTCTGGCCAGCCTGCCCAGAGGAAAGGGATATGGCTGGTTGGACGGCCTGCCTGCTGGTCGCACTCCTGGGCAAGGGAACAATTTGCATATTAGCCTTTTATTATATAGAATATACACTGAGTGGCCAGATTATTATGATCTGTGTGTGTGTGAGTGTGTATTATATATATATATATATATATATATATATATATATATATATATATATATACACATACATATATATATCACACATACAGGGGTGGGCAAAAGTAGGTATATAGTTTTGAGTATGCAAAACAGAGTTAATAAAGCTATTATAATCATCATAACCTGCATGTCTTTTTCCATGCCAATGAATGTAAACCAACTTTTGCCCACCCCTACATATACATATATCTATGATATTGACACTGTTATATGCACTTATAATAAAATGTCCCATTATATTCCACTGGAAAATCTCTTTAGATGCAATGTCAAGATGGCTGAAAAGCAGTATAAACTTATACAAATTATACCTCAAACAGCTCAACTATCCTAACTAAGACATCTAGAATAATAAAAGGGTAATATGCTAATTAGACCAGACGTCCATCCGGACGTCATTCTGAACGTCCTTCCTGATGAAGCCGGGGCCAGAGGGAAACCAGGGGGTCCCCCATGCCTGTGGGCGGCTGGAGGAGGGAAGCAGCGCGGGTCCCAGGTGCCAGAGGGAAGGAAGACCTACTCCTGCACGAATTTTTGTGCATCGAGCCTCTAGCTATAAAATAAAACCCACTTTGAAATAATGTAACAGAGATGTGTTAGATGTGAAAAATATTTTTGATAATGTAAATCACCACTACAGTTATTCTGTTTTTATAGATTTGATTTTTGCCCCTACATTGCATTTGCTTAGAAGACAGACCATGAACTATAATTGTTTTCTATCACAAATTGTGCAAAGCACTGTTCAAACCACAAGGCACATTTTCAGGACTTCTGCAAGAAAATAGTAAATATTCACTCCTCCTCCTCGGTGTCCTGGTGTCAGGGGAGGTCCTACGGCTGTCAGTGCAGGAACAGCCGTGGTAAAGAGTGTGGTTAAGGTCTGGGTTCCAACAAGCAACTGTCAAAACCTTTCCCCATGACTACTTGCTGGAAATCCCTCCCTCCCAGAGAGATGCTTGCGGGTGGTCTCAGAAAGAAACCTGTGGCCATGCCAACACAGGAGCTGTCCTGATGCTCCTAAGGTTTCTTTGCAACTACAATGTCATGCTTTGAGGAGCTGACTTTTACGCAAGCCCCTGCAAAAATAATATATATATTTATATTTATCTATTAAACTCGCTAGTTTATGCTTGTTTCCTCCCTCGAAGGTAGGTTACCTTCTGAAACCTCCAGCCAGCAGGCCTGCAGGTGGCTGAGGCCACTGGGAGAAAAGCCCTCCCTTCCCACTTGCTGCCTCCAAACTTCTTAGCAACACACACTGTGCGAACCGCGGCGCCGGCTGGGCCAATCGCAGGCCCGGGAGCGGCCAGGCGGTTGTGTAATCACCCACCCCTTCCCGCCCATCACCCACCCCTTCCCTCCGGAGTACAAGCCCAGCCTCCTGGCTCCAGGCTCCGGGACCGCGCTGGGTCCTCCGCACACACCCACTGCGCTCCCGTGCCAGACCCACCCTGCCCCTTATGTCCCCCATTTCCCCCTTTTGCTCATGTGCAGCTTGGAGGAGGGAAAGAAGCCAAAATGCCAGACCACGTCCAGCTGAACAGGGAGGGCAGGGGGCCCCGCCAAGGCTGCCGCAAAATGCACGTAGAACCCGCGGGCTCGGCGGCGGCCGCCGGGTCCCCGCTCCCCCCGGCGCCGGCGGTGGACACTCGGCGGCGATTGTTCCCGGAGAGCCGGGCTGATGGGCGAGCAGGGCCGGCGGGCGGGACGGGCTGCGGGCCGGGAGCCAGGAGCCAGCCCGGCCTTCCCGGCCCGGACCGGGGTCCACCCCGCTGCCCCAACAAGAACGCGTCCCCCTCCGGCCTCGCCGTCCCCGCGGCACAGCCCGCGCCCGCCTGTCCCGGCGCCAAGTTCCCAGCGCACCGGACAGGTGGCCGTTCCCGCGCCGCCGGCCCTCCCGGTGAGAGGGGCAGCCGCCCGAGCCCGGAGCCCGGAGCCCGGAGCCCGCCGGGCTGAGCGACCCCCGCCCCGGCCCGCGCCACGCCCCCGGCCCGCCCGCCCCGCCGCCCGCACGCACCTTCCCCGCGCCCCGCGCCAGGCCCCGGGGCACCGAGCGGCCGGGGCCCGGCGGCGGGAAGCGCTCCTCGCCGTCCTCGTCCTCGTCGCCGTCCTCCTCCTCCTCCTCCTCTTCGTCCTCGTCCCCGTCCTCCGCGCCCCCGTGGGGCCTCTCTGGCGGCCGCCCGCGCCCCCGCCGCCGGCCCGCGCCCTCCTCCTCCTCGTCCTCCCCGCCCAGCAGCAGCAGCGCCGGCGACAGGGCGGCCCCGGCGGCCCGAGGGAGGCCGGGCCCCGCGCTCCGGGGCGGCGGCGGCCTCCCGCCTTCGGGCGCCGGGCCCGGCGGGGGCAGCGCGGGGCCCCCGCGGCGGCCGCCCAGGCTGGAGCGCTTGGCCAGGCGGCGCGCCTGCATGTCTGCCGGGGCTCCGCGCCGCCCGCCGGTGCAGGGTGCGGGGCTACGGCGGGGAGGGGGCGGAGTGAGCCCGCCGGGTGCACGGGCCGCCGGTGCACGGTGCGGGGCTACGGCGGGGAGGGGGCGGGTGTGAGCGAGCCGCGCGCCGCCGCCCCGGAGCCGCGGGCCGCGCTGCGCCCCATGCGGCCGGCGGCCGGGCCGCGCCTCTCGGGCCTGCAGCGGCCGCGGGGCGCGAGCTGTGGGCGCCGCCGCCGCCGCCGCCACGCGCCCTGGGCCCCCGCGCCCGCAAAACCCGGACTGGATTTCTCCGGGACCCGAGACCTCCAGATCCAGATCTTGGGCCTCTGCGCGCCGCGCGCTGCGCCCCGCGCCCTCTCCTCCACCCCACCCCGCGTCCCCGCCCGGAGTCGGGGACCTCCTGTGGACAGAGGACCGCGCGCTCCTCTACAACTGGGCTGCGGGTCCCAGTCAGACTGAAGGAAGAGGTTTGCCCCCGGAATTTCATTTGAATGGTCTCTGCAGTGCGGGGACTGATCCAGAGCCTCTGTGACATCTGGAATGGTGTCCCCATCCGAGATGGGGGCGTCAGCCGTAAGAGGGGTTCTTGAAGCACTTCCATGGCGCGGCCTGCCCACGGGCCAGGCTCTGCGCGCACCGCGAGGCCTGGCTCCAGCTCCCTCCTTGCCCCGCAGGCCCAGCGGCTGTGTGTGTGTGTGTGTGTGTGTATGTGTGTCCGTCCCCCCAGTGAGGGGCCCTGGCACTGTCGGCGCCTTTGCAGAAAGAAGCAGGATGGCCAGTTCTAAACTGCTTGACTTGGTTATTTTTTAAAAATTAGTCTGAAGTGAGATCAAGTCTGGAGACCAAGCACCTACCCTGTTTGCCATGTGACTGAGGCACTGGCTTTCTAAGGATTTTGGGTGTGGCACAGAAAGTCACTTGTCACCGTGTGAGGTGAGGCTATTTGGGAAGCCACACTCTGTATTCACAGCAGGTGCCCAATTCCACCTCGGTGGGTGAGGGCTGGGGCACGGACCTCCCCAGCTCTCCGCAGGCGCAGGGCCTGCCCTCCGCCCTCTCCTGTAATTACTGGGGATTTAACACCACACCACGGACACCCCTGAAGGAACCCCTTAGCTAGGCTCCCTCTCGGCGTCTCCCAGCTGTGGCACGGGGAAGATGGCAAGGATTCTAAAAATGAATTTGTTCTCCCTGAGTCAGATGAGCTTCCTGATAGGCCTATTTCAGATAATGACACTCTCATTTTACCCATTCAGCCCAAAATAGCGGAGCATTTTAACTGCCTTCTCTTAGGTATCTCCAGAGGCAGCTGCCCACCCACCCTTCCCCTCCATTTCCAAACCTCCCACAGTGTCCCGGCTACCTGGTGAAAGTTTGGGACCCGCTCTCTCCACCCACTTCCTCAAGCACGCCCTCCCTGGACCTCCCCACATGCCAGCACCAGGCTCCTCTTCCTGGGATCAGTCAGATCAGGGAATTTTCCAGTTGAGCTGTTCATTCCTGAATATTGCATTTAAGACTTCAGAGAGTGAGGAGGGCTCCCCGGACTGCTAATTGGCACACAGAGGGCTGAGGGGTCCCTACCCCCGCCACCGAGTGCACCAATGTCATGCACCAGGCCTCTAGTCAATAAACAAAAACTAAAGAACAAAGAATGGCCACCAGTTCAGTTGGTCAGTTTGGGCGGTGATTTTAGAGATGGGCCAGAGAAACAGATCTCCAGGGCTCGGCTGCAGGTGCAGTGATGGCGGAGCGCAAAGGTGTGAGCTAAGTGGGGGAGGGCCGGGCTCCCAGTCCCAGTCCCTGCTCAGGAATTTACCAGCCCTATGTACTTACTCATCCTTCCTCTGTGCCTCAGTTTCCCCATCGGTGAAATACAGATCATAGCAGTCCTCATGTAATAAAGAAGTTGTTTTGTAGGACGATGGGTTAATGTGTGTAGTCAGCTTGGAAGAGTACCTGGTTCAGGTGGGTCTGTGCAAAGGCTCATTATATTCGGCATGTTGCTCTCGGCATGGGAACAAGGTAGCCTGGGATACTCTCAAAGAATAACCAGTCAGCTCAGCACTGTCAATAAATAGCCACAGCATGCTTGTAATGTCCGACTACATCTCATCCAGGGGCTGTGGTCAGGCCAAGGATAAAGCTTTTTATGTCTGAAATTGTCACAGATGAAAGAAAGTGTTTTCTCGAGAACCGACAGGGAAGACAAGATTAAGTGGGTTCATGGTTGGGGCTCGTGGTTGAGTGGAAGAAGTACTCATTCACACCATTGTCTTCTTTCAAAACTGCTGTGTATGGGCGGGGTTCAAGGCCTACTCCCCGCGCGCCATACGCATGCGTGCAGGCAAGGACACAGCAGGATCACTATGCCAAAGGCCCCTTTGCCCTATGCGTGCACAAGGGCAATGGCTCAGCAGTGGCAGTACACGTCCTGCACAAGCGCCCTTAGGTAACCTGCTTATGTTAATACAGCTGGGGCATCACTAACGGGCACAAGGCCTCTTCCAATTGGGCATGCATATACCCAACCAACCAGCCAGTTTGGGGCTGCTTTCTTCGTAATAAGCATGCCCCACCTACCTACGCTACGGTCACCCATGTGTTCTTCCTGCACCCAGAGGGGCAAGATCCTAGCTGAGGAGTTTGCTCCCAACATTTGGTGTAGTCGGCAAGATTCTGGGTAAGAATTCTGTCCACCATGTCAGAGGGCATGTGGTCTCCAATCAGGTGTGGTATCCGGTAGCATGGTCCTTCCTGACACCTTAAACCCCCTCCCCCCCACCCCCGGAGGACTGGGAGCTGGTTGAGGTAATGCCAGAGGCATTAGAGAAGGCTTTGTGGTCCCTGATGGATTCCCCAAGACGAGCGGGAGGCTGCCAGGACGGTAGGCTGGTGGCTCCTAACGGCCTTGAAACTGTAACACCGCGGGACGCGGGCCTGAGTCACAGAACCTGGAGGAGGCGCTGGAGGCCTGGCGTGTGTGCCGGAGCAGGTGGCAGCCTCCCTGGACGGGAGGGACCGGGAGAACCAGAGCCGGACAGCAGCTCGGAGGAAGTGTTACCGCTGGTGCCGCGGCCTCTGTCTTGCAGGCGTGACCGATCATAAAAAGGCGTCTGGAGCAGGATCAGCTCGTGGCCCCAGGAGGTGGGGCTCCAGGGCCGCCCACAGTTACTGAATTAACCGCACAGACCACTGTACCCTCTCAGAACTCAGAGGATTAGGACCACAGAGCTGGCAGAGGCTGGGGAGGGATTCCGGCGTGGCTCCTGGGTTGTGGGATGATGGCACAGCTAGTTTGCAGCTGTCTCCGCCCAGGATGGAGAAGTCACCTCCATAACCACCATCCTTCCTGGTGGCAGCAGCTGCAATATCAGTCGCCGGTTGGGAACCCACCCGGCAGGGAGACTCCTCCCTGATGGACGGCCAGTGGCAGCGCCTCGCAGCATTTGGCAGGATGCTGGAGAACTGCCAGAAACCACGAGTGAAGGGGCTGTGCGTGTAGATTTAGTGCAAGTGATACGGGAAATGGGCTTGAGACAAGCCACGTCTAATTTGAATACTCACGGTCCTAAGGAAGAGCATTTTATGACACACGTGAAAGACTTGATTCTTGCTGCAGCCCCCCACCCCAGCGGCGTTCGGCTTCCTGGCAGCCACTTTGACCCTTTCGTAGATCACCGTGTGCATGAAGTGACCACGGCCATGCTGGCTTGGGGAGGGCGTAGAAGTCAAGCAGCGAGACCTGTGACTGTGCAGAAGCCTAAGTAAGGTACATAATGCGACGCCTGAGACCATAAGCCGGATGACGGCGGGGACAGAGCCTGTGGGAGTCTCTGCACGCCAATGTGGGTGGGCCTGCTGGCCCTGGGGCTTAAGAGAAAAGAGACCTGCAGCTCATGGCCCCGGGGAGGCGATGACCAGCAGGACAGCGTTTCTAGAAGCTGTCGAGGAAAGCCAGGTCCCCTGACGCGTGGCCTCCAGGACTGTTAGACGCCTCTGAGGAGGAGGGGTTCAATCTCCTGGACCCGTGGTTGGCAAACTGCGGCTCTCGAGCCACATGCAGCTCTTTGGCCCCCTGAGTGTGGCTCTTCCACAAAATGCCAAGGCCTGGCTGAATCTATTTTGAAGAAGTGGCGTTAGAAGAAGTTTAAGTTTAAAAAATGTGGCTCTCAAAAGAAATTCAATCATTGTACTGTTGATATTTGGCTCTGTGAACTAAGGAGTTTGCCGACCACTGTCCTAGACCAGTGGTAGGCAAACCACGGCTCTCGAGCCACATGCAGATCTTAGGCCCCTTGAGTGTGGCTCTTCCACAAAATACTACATGCGGGCATGAACATACAGTGTGATTGAAACTTCATGGCCCAATGCGCAGAAGTCAGTTTTTGGCCTGAGCAAGTCTATTTTGAAGTGGCGTTGGAACACTCAAGGGCCAAAGAGCCGCATGTGGCTCGTGAGCTGCAGTTTGCCGACCACTGATCTAGACTGAGAAGCAGGCAAGGCCCAGTTAGGAGGGATCCTGAGGACTGGAGGCCGCATGCTGAACTCACCATATATTATCCCCTGCAACTTGCACCGTGTGTTGGGGCTGGTGGGTACCGGTGTGGACTGCACTTTGCTCTCTGGTAACCTGAACTGTCCCTGGTGGCAGGCAACCTTGACCCTGGGTATTGGCCGCCTTCCCTGCAGGCCTATCCTGTGCATGTTTTCCCTACAGAACACATCTTGGGAGTGGATAGGCAGAAGGGTTAACGCTTGTGGGCGTGTGGTGACACTGCCCAGCCCCCCCAGGTAGTGTGGGCACTCAGGGAAGCCTCCCAGGAGGCCCTGAGGAAGCCGGACAGACAGCCGTGCAGCCGGAGAAGGCGGAGAATGGGCACGCGCAGCCCGCACAGCTCTCCGTGCGGCCGGTGAGGAAGCTGGGCAGCTGGCGAAGGGCCGGGGGACAGGGACTGGAGAAAGTGACCCCCAGGCTCAGCGGTGCCGGTGGTAACGGAGCTCCTGGGCCTTCTGCCTGGGCAGACTGGCTGGCACTCGCTTTCCACAGACACAGCCCGGGGAGTCCACGCGGGACGGTCGGCACGGACTTCTGTCGCTCTCCCACGAGGAGACTCGCACAGCCCTACCACCTGTCGTGGGCGGTGGCACAGGAGTTAGCCACCTGGGCGAGCCTCCCGCAGTGACCACGTCCCACATAGCGAAGACGGCGTGCTGGCCTCTCGTTCTCGGCCGAGCTGAACGCAGCTGCGGGAGTCTCCGGCAGGCTTTGGACTCCGGAGGACGGGCGCCGGGGAATGACTGTCGGGTCCGAGGCCCTGGCTTACCTGCCAGTCTTGGGAGCTGCCTGGCCAGTGAGACCGGTGCTACCCGGGGCAGGCATTGACCAAGTGCGGCTGATCCCCGGCCTGCGACGGGAATCCATTACAGACCGATGCCTTTGGGATGTTGGCGGGGTCCACGCCCACCGGGCGCGCTGGTGCGGTCACTGTATCAGGAGTCCCCGCAGGGGCGACGTGGACGACTCCAGAGGCGGAGGAGGCCTGTATAGCTGCCAACAGGACACTCACCCGAGCCCAAACCCTGCAGGCCGCAGACCTGACACAACCATCCCAGCTGGACCTGACTGTCACTCCACAGGGCCTCCACCGGGTCTGTGGCCACAGCCTGGGCGGAGAAGGGCACCTTCGGGGTCTGGTCCAGCTGTGGGAGGGGCCGAGAGCCGGCACTCCCTCCTCGAGCAGCAGCTGGCAGCCACGGACACAGCCCTGCAGGCCTGTAAGGCGATCGTGACACAGAGTGAGAGGCGGTGAAGACTGCAGAGCCTGCAGCCGTTGGCTTAGGTCCTGGGTGACCATGCCCGCGTCAGCAATGGCAAAGACCCCACCGTGAGCAAAGCGGGGGTCTATTTGGAACCGAAGGCAGCGGCGAGGACCCTCCGTCACAGGAATGGCAAATCCTGTTGGGTCCTGTGACTCCTGAGATCAGCCAAGGGATGAGACTCCGGTGGAGGCGGCACTCCCGGTCCATTCCAGGAAGGTACACCCCTCCTGGACACAATGTGGCACACGGACGGGTCAAGTAGGGGGAACCCTGCCACCATGGCTGCCCGTTCGGATACAATGAACTGTGGTTCGGTTCTGGTTCGGGGCAGAGCAGCCAATGGGCGGAACTGCGAGCAGTCTGGATGGTGTGGACACAGGACCCTGGCCCTGAGGCCGTCGGAACAGACAGTGGGGCTATCTTTAAGGGTTTGACTTTGTTGTTGCTGCAAAGGCACAAGCAGCAGGACATCGCCCTGTGCGAGGACAGGAAGTGGGGGAGGAGATACAGGAAGTAGAGACATTGAGTGGCCATTGGCCGCTGCCAGCCCCGGGAGTGATAAGGCAGAGCCTCAGCAAGGGTCCAGGAGGTAGCACCCTGGGTGGCTTCATCGGAAATTGGGGGACATGGGACCAGGGACAGGGGTGCAGGTAGCTAAGCATGGTGGACTCTGTGCTCAAGGAGCTGGCATATGGGCCAGGGTCCCTGGCAGAAACCATCCGGCGTAAGGGGTGGAGTGTAGGGGCCCTGACCAGAGCATGCAGGCGGTGCACGGCCTACAGGCCACACGCACGTGTGCAGGGAGGACACGGTGCTGTTCCTACATGAAAGGCCCCTCGCCCTACGCATGCGCCAGGGCAGTGACTCCTCAGGAGCAACATGCGCCCTGCACCAGCGCTCGGTGCTGGAGCCTGCTGATGGTGATGTAGCGTGAGCA